CAAGGGAATTCCTTACATTTTTTGTCCATACATCCTCCGCAAAGCAAATAATAAACCTGGCGTGGGCGGGCTTATTATTCCATTAGGGTAAGTTAGGGCTAATTGCACAAATACAGAGGAAAACAAAGTGTCGTGGAATGTGGAACGTAGAGTATATATATATATAACTATGAATATATACACACATATATATATTCTAGAATTTGTTTTCAGCTAATTTTTCAATTCTATAATCGTAAGAACAGGTATGATTTTATTTAAATTGTTTTGTTTTAAGTTGATTTATTTTACTCTCTAATAAAAAAAATAGACAGAAAAGACTAACTTCTCGGTGACCGAAAGATACTTTCGTCTACCCACACTTGTTGAAGATGTTATTAATTCTATGGTGTTTTACTTACTATACTTAGTTACGTGGCACCCTTAAGAAAGAGGATAAGCTGCTTTTGATTATGTATGATTTGAGAACATGATCTTTTTTATTTACTTTTCGTATTTTGTATATTAATTGTACGCAATTTGTATTCTTTAGGTTTACACGTAGTTGTAGTTGTTTATACTTTCTTTTCTTTTATTACTGGGCAACTGCCTTCCCATAACTGGCTGCAGACAGTGAACGTACAGTTAGGTTCAGGACATTACGGGCTCAAGCGCCTTAGGCCCTCTGATAATTTCAGATTTTCATCTGTTGTTGGTGTATAATTGAAGAGACAGACTACCTTCAAGACTTTTCGAATGGTAATATGCAGTTATACACCAATCATGACTTTTATAAGTTTCTGACATTTATTTTTATTTCTGTATGTTTTGTCTCTGCTCGTATTTGGTTTACACTTTCATATTTGATATTTTCACTTCATTATTTTGTGGTTGCTGACAACTCAATGGATTCGCATCATGTGTGGCTGGGAGTGGAATGTACTTCATTGGGCGTCTTGAATTGACTACCTTGGTAGTGATTTCGATTTGAAACATTTGACTCTAAACTCGTAAAAAGTTCAGGGTCAAAGGCAAATGGGGGTGTTCATCAAAGTTATTTATGAGTGAGAGATATCATGGATAGCTCAGTATAGAAGTAATAAAATGTGTGGGTGAAACAAATAAAAATAACGAGGTTAGTGATGAGAGTTTGAACTTAAGTGGGGAGGAGGGGGGTTGTATCAACAAGCAAAAATACACAGAAACCACAGACGGTTTATAAATAAGCTAATTCTTTATTTTCATTTATTTTGTCTGTGAAATTTAGCACAAAAATTGGGTGGAAATCTGCACATTTGAATACCCTTAATTTCGATGTGGGAGTAAAACAGGACTATCCCGAGAAAACCCCACTTTCACTACCTGGACATCGAATAATCTATCCGGATAGAGTCTGAGCTGTGGGGCTAAAACGTTTGTTGATTAGTATACATATAATAAAATCAATAGGCGTTAAATAGGTTCGGGGGAGACATGTGGGTGTGCTATATTTCTGAAGTAATGGAAAGAGTTGAAAATTATTTAGTTACCGAGTTACGATTAACTGCTTTTTTACAGAATTCATTAGCTAGTTTAAATACCCTATCCTTAATTGATAGAATGTCGCTAACTGTATTAAGGTAAGTGAGTGGTGTGTAAGTTGGTAATCTATAGGCAATTAAGGTAAGTGAGTGGTGTGTAAGTTGGTAATCTATAGGCAATTAAGGTAAGTGAGTGGTGTGTAAGTTGGTAATCTATAGGCAATTAAGGTAAGTGAGTGGTGTGTAAGTTGGTAATCTATAGGCAATTAAGGTAAGTGAGTGGTGTGTAAGTTGGTAATCTATAGGCAATTCTTAAAGCTGCATTTTGCTGGATCTGTAAATTTTGAGTAAATTGTCAGACATATTATAAAGAATCATGTTACCATATTTTGCTAAAGGTCTAATGTAAGTTATATATATAAGGCAGTGTCAGGGTTACATCACTTTTGAGATCCCCTGATTTTCCTCAAATAATACAACCTCTGGCTCATTATAATAATGACATCGTTGATATGATTTGTCCACGTTAACTTAGTGTTAAAAATAATAACTAAGAATTTGATGGTATTAGTAAAAACAATTTGAGTGTCATAGAGCTTTTCGCGTCTGGTATACCAGTGGGCTTTATAAACTAAGGGATGGAATTCTCCAAACACACACAAAGCTAATGCCTGTGAAATACTTGTGAAGACTTTAATTATTTAAAATAATAAGAACTGTTAACATACACGGTTCAATGCTGC